AAGGTCTACTCAAAGTTTACCACTTCATCAATTTCTGCATTGCATAACTCGTCTTTACCACCAATCTCGTTCTTCGACATTACCGTCGATGATGTTCTTCTGTCAATTTCAAAGTTGACAAGCAGCGCAAAATCTGACAGTGACGGTCTTTGTCCGTTATTTTTCAAAATTTGTTCCGATACCGTTGCAGATCCTTTGGCACTTCTCTTTCGACAATGTCTGAACTGCGGAACTTTCCTAGATTCGTGGAAACTATGTTCAATAAATCCTATATTTAAGTCTGGCGACCGTAATGACAATTGCAACTATGACCTATAGTTAAACAAAGNTTAAACAAAGCACCCTGGCAAAGATATTTGATCACATTCTTCAACGTAAGCTGTTCGATCACATTAGCAATGCTATTGTGGAATGTCAGCATGGATTTTTTCCTGGGAGGTCTACTTCCACCAATTAAGCCTTAGTCACTAATCAAATTGTCGATGCTTTTGAGACTCAGGCGCAACTCGACGTCATTTACACCGACTTCTCAAAAGCATTTGACAAAGTTGATCACTCAATTCTGCTACGTAAATTGAAATTGTATGGAATCAATGGAAAACTGTTGAAATTTTTCTCCAGTTTTCTCTCGAATAGGAAACTTTTTGTGTCAATTGGAGGCGTTAAATCATCTTTGCTTATCGATGCTTGGTCAGGAATTCCACAAGGGACTCACTGTGGTCCTTTATTGTTCCTTATCTTTATCAATGACCTGCCACAACAATTTAAATTCGCTAAATGCTTAATGTTTGCAGATGATGTTAAACTGTTTTTAACAGTACGTAATATTTCTGACTGCATTAACTTACAATCTGACCTTGATTCCTTTGCCGGATGGTGCAATAACAATAACTTATTTTTAAATACGAATAAATGTCGCGTTGTTTCCTATTCAAAAAAGGTTGGCACCACTATTTTCAACTATAAAATAAATGCTCAATCGTTGAACCGTTCTTATGAGATTAAAGATCTGGGTATATTATTTGACTCCAAACTCTCTTTCGCTAGTCACATTGACTTTATTGTTTCAAAATCTTTTGCAATGATTGGTTTTATTAGACGTAATTCCGGAGACTTTAAAGATCCAATGACATTGAGATCACTTTACATTTCTTTGGTAAGAAGTCGTCTCGAATACTGCTCATTTATATGGAACCCATTCTACGAAGTACACTCATGTAAAATTGAGAGAGTTCAGAAAATATTTACTAAAATCGCTTTGCGTATGCTTCGTTGGCCTAATGGCCTCCCATCATATAGCAGCAGACGTAAATTACTTGGGCTCCAGGCTTTATATGAGAGAAGAACTTGTTCCTCGCTCTTGTTTGCCTATAACATAATTAACTCGAATATTAAATGCTCTGATTTGTCTAATTTATTCATCCCCTATATTCCACCGCGTAATCTTCGGCATACTAGATTATTTATCGAAGTAACTCATAAAACAAATTATGCAATGAATGAACCAATCGTTAAAACTATACATCTAGCAAATCGATATAGCAGCGTTCTTAATTTTAATAGTAGTTTATATAAATTTAAACTTGAATTGTTTTCTATTTTTAACTAGTCTGTAAGAAAGTTTGTACTTTTTAGACTGAAATAAATAAATAAATAAATAATATTCGATTCTCTTTATAGCCAGCCCTTGAACATTTCCGCTGGAAATACCTACTATTTTCTTACGCTTTGCCTTTAAATTACGAAAGAAGGTGGACGTAGGGGACAGTCTACCGTAGCATCTCTACAGGCAAAAAATATTGGCTAAAATTTTTGTTTGCCAGATATACGTTTTAACAGTGCGTACAATATTCGCATTCCTAAAAGCTCCGCATTGATTATTGCGAATGCGCAAGCGAATGCGAATATCATAATTTATACGGAAGTTCCGCGGGTGCAAATGCGAATGCGAATATTCGGAACAACCCTGGCTTATGTACAATGAAAAAGTCACTAATTATGATCACCACCGATGCTGTGAAGCATGGTACAATAATTACAGGTATTGTCTTCCCAGAGAGTTTTGCTTCACATCGAAATTCGTGCTCCCTTATTTTCATTTTGACGCAGTTCAATGTTGATTCTTTTCCTTTTATTTGGTTTTGCTTTTGTTTTCGCTCAATTTAGTTTTTATAATTTTTCAAAACAAAAGAAAAAACTTTTCAAATGAAGTGAGCCATACCAATTTTGAATTTATTTACTAATCAAATGTTTTTTTCGGCTTTTGCAAATTAAACAAGTCCCCTGCAAGAAGCTTTGTTTAAAAAAATACATGTACATACATGGTATATGGGGTACGGAAATATCCCTTTTCCCTAGCAGTAAACCTTTTATAAAAAATTTTTGACAAATGATGCCATGATAAAATTTGTGAGCATTTTCATTAACAACCGATTATGTACTTAACATTTTTACTCTGAGAGGAGTCATTAATGAGCGGATTTAATGACAATTAGTTAAGGAATCGTTAGCCATAAATTAATGAACGTTTCTGAGTGCGGCTGTTCTTTACTCAAGATTATACATATAAAGACTGGTTCTCACTATGTCATATTTTGACGCCAAAATTTGGCGACATATTTTGACACAACTTTATCTCCTTTATCCATATATTTACCGATGATATTATGGGTCAACAACTGACAGCTACCTGATTTCGCAGCGGATGCACACGACTAAAGACCTATCTTTGACGACAAATGCCACTGAATTTGACATAGTGAAAACAAGCCTTAAGACCTTGACTATGTATAATGATCGTTACTGGAATTAAAAACAGTTCTCTCATGTATTTAGGGATACTCAAATTTGTTTTTATTGATGATAATAGCGTCACGGGAAAGAGCTTAAATTAGTTGGAAACTGAGTAGGCATACAATACTTCTACTATTTACTTAAAGTTCGTATAAATATGTGTATGAAAAAATTAACTTTATCAAAACGTTTATGGAATTTAAAAATAAGAATGTGTATTTGGTAACATTCACAACAAACCTATTTTAATTATTTAAGCACAGTGTAAAAAAAGAAGCAGAGAAAGTACGTACACATAAGCAATATCTG